CCCATCTCATTAACTCTCTGCAGCTACTGGTGTGTACTTGCACATAATAAACAGGGGGTGGTTTTAAGAGCTATAATGCACAATACCTGGGACAGAAAGGTTACTGAGATTTTGACACAGTGCTTTTGTCACTTCAGCCAGTGTTTCACAAACAAGGTAGCTTTACTCTGTATTTTGCATTCACGGTGGAAAATGTGTGTGCTCACTTTAAAGAGATTGTACCACCAAGACGAATGTATACCTTGGCTGTTTATCATATATCTGTAACCCATTTCCTCCCCTTCCTAGTGCTCTTTATATCCTCACGTGTCAGTCAATTGCAGCATGTAAGCTTCAGTCCTGCAACTTTGTATGTGCATGGGATTACTAACACGGACAACATTATTCATGTGAAGAAATGCTTGCAGTACCAGGACCTTAAGACTGTAAATTCTTTGATGAAACTTGAATCATGTGTGTTTTTTTAAGTGCCTACGATACCTCTGGGCTCTATAAAACTAATAATAATAACATGCAAAGGGCAGCATTCTACATGGATATTGCTTTTAAAAAACCTCTCTTTTGTTTTAATCATTTTAATGAAATAAAAACGCACCTGCATTTGCACATGCAGAGCAAATCTCTATGTCCAAGCCAGTCAGCAATCTGCAAGAAATCAGGACATGAAAATAAAGATTTGCTTATGTCTTTGCTTGCTGAATTATTTTACACTAAGAGAATCTAAAAGCCAGCATCCCAAGTTAGAAGACACTGATTCAATTGTCCTTTCAACGAAGTGATTTTTTCCATGTTTGAAATGTCCCAAATTTAGCCAAACCATTCCATGAGAGATAGCAGGGTCCTTCCTCTTACAATAGGAAGTGATGATACATCCAGCTACTACCAATACGTGGGTGATTAATTCAATTCTTTCCAAATCATAGACCCATGGAATAGACCCATCCACAGAAGCAAGAGCAATGGATCCTGTGGGAGTTTAGTTCCTGTTATATCTTTAATTTGTCAACAGGCATTTTTCCAGGATTGCTGGAAAATACTCTAAGACATTCTCACCAGATGGGCAGGAAGGTAACTTTCAGGTTGCATTCCCTCCAACACACGTTCAATCCAGTTTTGTATATTTGTTCTATGCTTGCGTGTTTGTAAAACACCATCAGTGGAGGAGGAGTGAGAGATCCCGTTCCATATATCTTCATCAGCACTATCCCCTATGGCACGTAAGGCCTCAGCTTGGAAAGAATTTGCTTAACAAAACTGTTGTTTAGTGATACACTCATTGGAGCATGTTTCAGGGATAACTTGCCGAGCAGGAGCAGGGTTGGTAAAACAAATAACTGTTGCAGAACAGGGACCAGATTATGAGCTGCACCTCTGAGTGACATAGCCTGGGGCATGTGGGGGACACAGCAGTGGCTATGTGCCACCTTTCTATCCCCAGTTCAGGGCTTTTCTAGTGGCTGGGGTGACTGCTGCTCACAGTTCCAAATGTAGCAATCCCGAAGTCCAGAATAGCCAGAGTGTGGAGTTCTCTGGCCACACCCCTCCCAATATGCCCCTTCCTGTCTATCTCTGCCATGCACCTATACCGGGGCTGCGAGACAGGGTATGTCATGGGGATTCTACTCACTGCTGGGATGCACCCTTATGGCTGTGTCCTGGGACTAGCTCTGCTCAGACTGATGCTCCCATCTGTCTCTCACTCGCGTCATATCCCTTTTCTAGGAGACTCAGTGCTTCCTCTTTGTCACTTGGCCCTCCGTCTTCGTGGCCTGGCCCTCTGGCCTGGTCACTATACAGTTTTTCCCTTCCAGGGTAACAAAGTCTCACTGAACCCACTGTCCGGGTGCCATTCCAGGCAGTCTTCCCAAAAAAGACTGTGCCATTTTCCCTATGGTTAGTAGGGGAATCCAAGCCCACCTGCTATTCCAGGTGCCAGCCCAGGAACCCTATGCCCAGCAACCACAGTCTGCTCCAGCTCCCACCTTCTTGCTCTTTCCCTGGGCTCTTTCCTACCTGTCTTCCCTATCTTCTAGATCCCCCCCTGGGTTACTACTGGAGCTTCCTCTGCTCCCTATGGCTACTTCACCCTCTCTTGGGTTCTTCCCAGAGTCTGTATTCCAAGGCAGGATCCCAGAGCTTAAGAACATAACATAAGAACATAAGAATGGCCATACTTGGTCAGACCAATGGTCCATCTAGCCCAGTATCCTGTCTTCTGACAGTTGCTGGTGCCAGATGCTTCAGAGGCAATGAACAGAACAGGGCAATTTTTGAGTGATCCATCCCCTGTCGTCCAGTCCTAGACTCTAGCAATCAAAGGTTTAGGGACACCGAGACCATGAGGTTGCACCCCGACCATCTTGGCTAATAGTCATTGATGGACCAATTCTCCATGAACTTATCTAATTCTTTTTGGAACCCAGATATAGTTTTGGCCTTCACAACATCCCCTGGCAACCAGTTCCACATGCTGACTGTGGATTGTGTGAAGTAGTACTTCCTTTTGTTTGTTTTAAACCTGATACCTATTAATTTCATTGGGTGACCCCTAGTTTGTATGTTATGTCAAAGGGTAAAGAACGCTTCCCTATTCATTTTCTCCACACCATTCATAATTTTATAGACCTCAATCATATCCCCCTCTCAGTCTTCTCTTTCCCAAGCTGAATAGTCCCTGTTTTTTTAATCTCTCCTCAGATGGAAGCTGTTCCATCTCCCTCATCATTTTTCTTGCCCTTCTCTATACTTTTTCCATTTCTAATATATCTTTTTGAGATGGGGCAACCAGAACTGCACACAATATTCAAGGTGTGCACGTAACATGGAGTTATATAGAGGCATTATGATATCTTCTGTCATCTTATCTATTCCTTTCCTATTGGTTCCTAACATGCTGCTAGCCTTTTTGACCACTACAGCACATTGAGCAAACGTTTTCAGAGAACTAGCCACAATGATGCCAAGATCTCTTTCTTGGTAACAGAAATTTAGACCCCGTCATTTTGTGTGTGTAGTTAGGATTATGTTTTCCAGTGTGCATTACTTTGAATTTCAGCATTGCCGTCGTCCGATTTTGTGAGATCCTCTCGTAACTCTTCGCAGTCTGCTTTGGACTTTACTATCTTGAGTAATTTTGTAGTGTCTGCAAACTTTGCCACCTCACCATTTACCGCTTTTTCCAGATAATTTATGAATACTTGCACAGCATAGGTCCCAGCAGTACAGATCCTTGGGTGACGCTGCTATTTACCTCTCTCCACTGTGAAAACTGACCTTTTATTCCTTTATTTCCTATCTTTTAGTGATTACTTATCAATGAGGGGACCTTCCATCTTATCCCATGACTCCTTATTTTTCTTAAGAGCTTTTGGTGAGGGACCTTGTCAAAGGCTTTCTTAAAGTCCAGGGGTCACCCTTGTCCACCTGGTGATTGACCCCTTAGAACTTCTCCTTGCCTTTAGCCAACTCCCCTCTTCTCCAGGGAGTGACTGCAGAGTTCCTCCCTGCAGCCCTTCTCCTACACCAACTTCCTCTCTTTATAAACTTATTCCAGCTCAACCCCAGCAGGCTTAATCAGTCATAAGGCTTTAGCAGTCCCTGGCTTTCTGCCAGGTGCAGCCTATAGCTTAATTGGCCTGTTTTACCTGTTTGGGCCTTGTGTGGGGTGGGCACCCCATCAAAGGCATCATAGAGCCACCTATGTTACTCTTGTGCCACATTTATGGCACAGGAATGCCCTGAAAGGGAATCCACCTGTGTTCCATCCCCTTTACCCAAACACCACATATATGAGCTGCATAGTTGGCTGGAAACACTAATTGCCATGGTTTGTCTGTGAGGATGTTCTGCTTCCACACTGGAAGTGCAATTTCATCCTCCCCATTCCAGGCTGCTCACCCACGTCAATTCCTTTGTCCATAGCCCATGTATTCAGGCTATGCTTAGGGACCAGGTTTGCACACACACAATACTCCCATTAAATTCAGTGGCTAGTTTTGTGTGCAGAAGACTTGCAGGCACTTTTTGAGGAGTTTTCTCTTAAGAAATAGTCTTCTTTGTGCAGAGATGTTTCTTTCTTTTCGGGATGCATTCAGCTAAAATTCTTTTTGTTATGCATTCTCCCACACGGCGTATGACAATAATCCACACCAACATGGGATTGTCGTTGCTAATTTACATTTTTCACAGATTTGCCCAATTGGTCACAATCAGAAAAGTATTTGAATCAAAGAATATGCGTAAACAAAGCTACAATTTTAAAAGGTGACTTTCATGCCTCAATTTTTGGGTGCCCCAACCTGAGACTCCCTGCAGGGGCCTTATTTTTAGAGTATGGGTGCCTTGCACTTTCTGAAAATGAGACCTCTTTAAGGTGTCTCCAACTCAACAATTGAAAATCATTTAACACTTTTGAAAATTTCAACCAATATACTTAGGAATTTACAAATGTAAGGCCTGTTACTGAGTACGCTCATATCCACTGACTTCAGCAACTAAAGTCCAGATTAGTGGACTTTATTTTAAGTGTGGTTTATCTAGAGAAAAAACAAGACAGAAAGAAAAAAGAACGATCATTCCACATACCTGGAAGAGGAAACTATTCTCACTTATCACCACCAACTATCAACTGATTTAATTCATCATTTGCGTTTCTTGCAAAAAATGGAAAATACGGATGACCTGCTCAGTATCACTGTACACTGACAGTTAAGAATATTCCACATTAAAATTTATGATAGTCTGGCAGTATTTAGACATAAGAGTTTTTCACACCAGTTTCCAAAGGGAAACTATGTTTCACTGTTTTTCTTGCATATCATTTATATTATTAATTTATTGGCAAAAATATGTACATTATGTCTGGGTAAATCAGATTTAATTATTTTCCATGACACATTACTATAAAAGGCAATGAACACCTATTGAGAGAAAGAAGATCATAATTTAATCTTGTATATACATATACAAATTGTAATTAATATTTTGTAATAATACTTTGCAGTGTTATACTGCCTTCCATGTGAGGATGTCAAAGTGTTTTACAAATATTAATTAATTAAGCCTCACAACATCTTGGTAAAGTAGGGAAGTGTTAGTAGCCTCATTTTAAGGCACAGCGTTGATCAGTTGGCCATATACCTGCGCATTCAAAAGTTTGGGTCTCTTAAGTTCAACTTTTACTTTCAGTTTCTTGGTTTGGGCTTGATTGGTTTGTTTTTTTCAGGAGCTTTGGAGCATAGTTGGTTTTAATAATTACAGTGCCCTTATAAAGGTGTTTTTTTAAAAACCTTTATGTTATGGATATGTATTCTCAACTTTAACTTCAGTTTAACAACATTTTTGTCTGGTACAACAGGATAAAGTATTTGGTATCTTGTAGGCTATAATATTTACAAATAAAGCTGGTAAACATTTTATTGACCAGTTCATTTAGTTGGTTGAAAAACAGAGGAAATTTTTGCAAAAATTGTAACATTTCTTGTACAAAAATTATGAAAAAATTCCATCAGTTTGCTTTCCAGGTGTGGGCACATGGGCCTGGTGGGAATGTTAAGATGAAGTACTATACCAATGCAAATAAATTATGACTGTTCATAACACCTCAGAAGAAGATCTTTAGGAAGGAAATTTCTATATTTTTCAGCTTGTTGAGACTGTTATTTACACGTTAGGGTAGAAACGTAGAAGAGTTGTATTAGATATGAAGGAATAGTCAGTGTTAGAACTTTCTGACAAAAGTACATTTATTTACATCACTGTAAATAATCAAAAGGATTGAAAGATGCTGAAGTTAGTGGATCACTCAGTTATAACAACTACTCCATTCCAGCATGTCTTTGCTGGCTCATCAAAGTCCTCCTAACAGATGGTAAATAGAACGTGTGCCAGGAATTTTCAAACACTCCCCAGGAAGTTCATCTAAATCATCAGTAAACCATTTGCACTTGAAACAGAGCAAACTCTGTTGCCCAAATGTGACCCAGATAATGTTTCTGTTATGTTTACCTATTCTGAGAATATCTTTAGGGTTTTTTTTTTATTGCCCTTTTTGTTCTCCTACTTCCATCTGCTCCTGCAGAGCTAGGAAAATACACACAATGCTCAGTTCCTGGGCAAAAAAATATAGAAATATTTTTCTTAAGATCAAGGTGGTCAAGGCATAGCAGCTGGTGGGCCAAATACAGCTCACTTTGTTCTGCTTTTGGCTTATTGCTACTTTCACCATTAATACGGGCAGGAGGTGGCCTACAAAGACTAGAGCTCCCTGGTCAGTGTCTTATTGAGAATGGGGTTTGAATGAAGGTGAGCTGGCGGAGACAAAATCATCCAATCTAACCTTTTGTTGGTAGCCCAGAAAAAACAAGCAGAAAAAGACAGAGCTGGTGTTAGTTCCCTCCTTTTGCCACTCAGGTTTGCAACCTGTATTTTATCTAAGTATCTTATATGGGCCCTATCATTTTTGTATCTGAATGCCTCAGACTCATTAATATATTTATCCTCACAACACCCCTGCAATGTAGGGAAGTGCTAGTACCCCCATAGTACAGGGGAAGAACTGAGGCACAGAGAGATTAAGTGACTTGCCTGAGATCACACAGGATGTCTGTAGCAAAGCAGAAAATTGAATCCAGGTTTCTCCAGTGCCATGCTAATGCCCTAACCATTGGACTGTCTTCAGCAGCTTCTAGACATCCTGATAGTAGCTCAAGACAAAAGCACTTCATGGCGTTTGTACCAGCCAGTAGATTGTAGTTTTTCTTTCTCATGGGGTCCTCACCTCAATGACCCATGATTTAGCCACTTGGAGATGGGATTATTGCCATGTGCTCTTCATGGGGCTGCAGTTTCTTCTTTCTAGTCATGATATGGTGTATTCTGAGGTGTTGGCTTTAGTCTGTAAAGTCGTAAGTGGGTAGGGGTCGTTGGGGAGCTGGTAGAATTTCATGAGTATATTGTCATTATTCAACCAGCTCTAGGTCCTGGTCACCTCAGGGACCTTCAAGTCCCACTGCAAGGCCCTTCTGTATTCTCTCAGGCTTTTCTAGGTGGACCTGAAGGGGAGGAAAATGAGGTGAGAGTGTCTAGAGGGGAGTAATTGAAGAGTTTTAGGTTGGAGGGGCTCTAGGTTGTTCTTAGCTTTTGGATATTGGTATGACATTATTATAAAGAGTCTACACATGACACTGGGTGAGCACATGTTAATAAACTGAAGTACACACACATAATGAGATGGACCATTGCTTCTAGGATCCATGGATCTTCTAGTGTCTCCATATTAAAGATGATGATAGACATATTCTGCTCCATTTTCACTAAATTAGGCAATTAGACATGGTCCTCCAGCAACTAAGCAGCCCCTATGGCCCCCTAGTTGGACAAAGTTTGGATACCATGGTTTACATAGTAACTATTCACATTTGAATTTCATAGTACTGTAATTAACATACAGCTGCTACATTTTTAACAGGTTAGGAACAATTATCACAGGGTAAACCCACAATTGCATTTCTCCTCCATGCCAGTTTACATCACATGGTAATTGCTTTCGGACATACCGAATGTAATTACACAGTAATCTGCAAGTGCCAGTACACGCTATGCAGTTACATGGTATTCAAACAATATTAAGCCGTCATGTCATTAAAGAGCAGTTATCTAATATTTATGTCCTGTGTGACTAGAAGTATTACTGTAATTTCTACCACTGTGCTGACATACAACCCAACTATGGCCAGATTTTCAATGGGATTTACTGGGTGTTGAGCACTTTTGAAAACGTGGTGCCTACTAACCTCAGGGGTGTAACTGTGTATCAGGAATTATAACCACCCATGCCTTGTTTTAGAACAACTTTGGTCATTTGATGTGTTACAGGCAGAGTGCCAACCTCTTGTAATACTCATGTTGAATTGTGAATTCACCCAGGGCCAATTCCCACTTGCTCTCCTGTTGTCATGTCCCATATACTGCAGTAGGACCCTATCAGATGCCCTGATTAAATTGTTCCTTCCCCGAGATGGTGATTTTTATTATTTAGGACTAGTCAAAGTAACTTAGTCTGGCACAGGAATCACGTATAGGGAGCCATGGACAATCATTTTAAAATTACACCACCACAACAGAACAACATTCTGTTACAAGTTATTACATTATTTCTCAACCTAGTAAGGCCCCGATTCAGCAAAGCACTCAAGCATGTACTTAATTTTAATTACTTGACTTAGTTGTTTGCCAAATAGGGATGTAATTAAGTATATGCATAAAGTTAAGCCAGTGCTTAACAGGTTTGCTGAATCTGGACCTTATTGAGTTGAGAAACAATGGTAGTGACTCATAACAGAACAAAATGTTGGAATGCTTTGATTAACCAGGTCCAGAAAAACAAAATATTTGCAGACGTTTCTGTGAATAATTTCTAGCAACATTTTCCAATGGGCCTATCTTTCTGGTAAAAAGATTTCAATCAGTTCTGTATGAAACTAAAATATAAGTGGCTACAGTAAAATTTGCTTAAACATCAAACTATGGAGATTCCTGTGGGGTTTGCCATACTCCTGTCACTCGATGCTGAAGAAACATCACTCCTGAAACAGCCTGAGGTTGAGTTACATTGATTTAGGTTGCCCTCAAAATGTATGTAAATTCTATACCTCTTGTTGGTTGCATTCATGTCCTTTCTGGGTCTGATCCAAAGCCCACTAAATTTAATAGGTGTCTTTCCACTGACTTTAATGGACTTTCTATCAGGTCCTCCTTAACTTCAAAATCTCAGATACATAGGTTGTTGTTTCTCTTTTTTATAGGTCTTCCTTTGCCCACTAATGGTTACATTTTAACAAAAAAAATTGCTTTAAGTAAAACACAAATCATAAATCAGTATACCCACATTTTAATGAACATGGGAAAGGCTCCATAAAAAAGGGAAAGATTGCTTCATTACAATAAATGTTATTACTTTAATCATCTAAACCAAAAGAATAAATATAGAATATTACCTTATAATTGCTTGTAGTTTAATACAGCCCAATCCTTCCATAACTTTATTCCTAAGGGGTAGTAATTGGAGCCTGAATGAGGAGCAAGAGGGAAAAGCATCCTGTAATTATTCTTTTGAATTTGAAAAAGGATTTCAGTTCAGCCCATTCATGACCCTTTTGCATTTACTTTCCACAAACATTTTATCAGCACAGGTTTGCTAGCACGAACGGTCATAGAAAATTAATTCAAACTTGAATATTCAGCCAAAGCAAATAAATTATATATTTGATTCTAATATTCAAAGTTCAAAATGCACCCTGGGGTGGTAAGCTAGTTACAGCATGTTAAGCATTGGATAAATCCAAAAGAAATATTAATAAAACAAATCATCCAAGCAGGGAAGAGAACCAGTACCATGATTTAGGTCACTAGCCAACAAACCACAAATGCCAATGTCATTTGCCATCATCTGCTTGTGAACTAGTCGCACGATGGGAAAAAAATGTATATACTCCTGTACAATGAATACGTTAAGAACAATCAGTTTGCAATTGCACCATACGTTTTGGGTAGATTGTCACAGCCCTTTCTCAGCTACACAGGGGAGCAAAGGCACAACCCCCCCCCCCCCCCATTCCCCTGCTCAGATTGTTACTCCAGCTACCACCCGATATTCCCTGCAAGCAAGTGGGTGGGGCATGAGATGATCCCTGGCTGTGTCCTGCCCCATATCAAATAGTTGCCTCCTCTCTGCCCCCAGACCAAGCGCAGGGAGCAGGGAAGGAATCGTGACTGCCTGAGGAACGATTCCTTCGCTGCTCCTGGGATGACCCAGGTTGTTCTTCCCCTTCCTAGCAAATCACAGTCTAGCCTTCTGTGTACAGCAGAGGCAAAATCTGAGGATTAACTGACTTGCCTTGCATTAGTCACTCAGCTCAAGGTGCAGGCAATGGGCCGGATTTTTAAAGGTAATTAGGTGCCTAAAGATGCATCTGGGCACCTAGTGGGATTTTCAGAAGCGCCTGGACATCTAACTCCCCAATGGGAGATGAATATCTGCATCTTTAGGTGCCTAAATGCCTTTACAGATCTGGCTGTATGGCCCAAACATGCTTCTCTAGTAGCATTGGCTGGTGGGGAGGCTGCTGGAAGTGCTGCAACACACAAGGGAGACTAGAGGTGGTTACCAAGCTAGGCAGCACCTTGTGCACGCTGCTCTGTTTAACCCCCCCCCAACCCCCCGAGGTTTTCATGACCCCAAACTCTGTGCAGGAAGAATTTGGCTGGAGTCGTGTATTACGCCTTGTGTGTACTTATTATACACAAAGCTGAGGAGGACTGGTAGGAAGTTGTGTTCAAGGATCCCATAAAGGGGGGAGGGCACAATACAGAAGGGGCAGCACTAGGAGAGAGGGAACAGCAGCAGCTTTGCGTCTGGATTCTGGGCTGCTGTGTGGGTAAAATGGCACCCCAGAGGCTGCTCTAACTTACAATAGCCTCCCCAGAGCTGCCTGTGGGCTGCAAAGCCACCTGGAATCCCCCATAGTGCTCAGTGCTATGGGCACGCACCCTCCCAGCACTACACTTTCTGTAGGTAGGAGGGGCAATATCATGTTGATTACATTGGCCCTACTTTTCTCCTGCTCAGAAGTAATTCTCCCTCAACCCCGTGCACCACCCATATGGCCCTTAGATACCACTGCAACAGGCACCAGAATCAGGCTCTGAATCAGCAAATCAACTACTGGTTGTGTTGGTTTTGTTTGGGTTATTCCCAATGCACGCCTGTTAGCTAAGGGCCTCACGGCAGGAGATCACAGCAGGACAAGAGAAGAGCTGGTGACAATGCTATGAAGGTGGCTCTATCCATTAGAGAGACTACAGCAGTTACCGTTAGCTCTTCAGTTCCAGCCACCTGTGCAAATTCTGATCTGTAGCCAACACACTGAGCTCTGTCGAACATAAACTTAACAGCTGTCTGATCAAAGGGCTACAGTGCATCACAGTCCGCTCTTAATGGCTGGCAGGCGTTGGGTCATTTCTCCTCCTAGCCCTCCCAGGGCCACCTCCCTTTCCTCTCCCCCAGCCTGCCACCACGTAGCCCCTCTCCCCTGTCCTACAGTATGCAAGCCCTTCATCCGAGGACTGGTCAGCCACCATCCAGGCCCACTCACTTATCCCTTCCTCTCCCTTGACTGCCTGTTCAGCAGCCCCTGCTTCCCACCTCCTTCTTAGCACTCACTTTGGGGGTTCCCCACACTCGTCTGCCTACCTCTTCCACTCCCCATTACACCTCTTCCACCAATGGCCCCTACTTGTTCAGTGTGACCACTTGGGACTTCCTCACGACTCATCCCGCCTGCTCAGGAAGTGCCTATCTGCCATGATTCCGGCTACTAACCAGCCAGAGAGAAAATGCGGGGTGGGTGTGGGGGTGTGAAAGGGTCAATTCCTATACTTTCAAAGTTCAAGCTGACTGTCTAAATGACTCCTCCCGCTAGCTTGCAGCCAAGAGGAGTGAAAACAACAACAGTTTTAGTTTACAACCGTCCTTATTTCATGTGCAGAGTTCACACCATGGAAAACAATTGCCAGAGCGTGCAAAGTACAATCATTTCTCCTCAATGGTATGGCAATTGCTTCATTTATTACTGGAAAAATGTGAACTCTAGCTGCACGTTGTATATGTGTGTGTATGTGCTCGTCATTGCACTGCAAAGGGTGGAACGGTGGAATCCAGAAATAAAAAAATGACTCAGAGGCTGTAGGCGCGATGAGTCAGTCAGCACTGTTGTTGTTTTCAAACGAAAAAGGAGGGTGCCCAATATGGAAAATAATCCTCAGTACCACTGTGCTGCAACAAACCTATCATAATGCAGCGGCACTCTGGTGAGACCGCCCCCGGGAAGTCTATATTCAGTACTGGGCACCTTATTACCAGGAAGAGGGAGACAAACTAGTGGGAGTTCAGAAAAAGAACAACATCTGTGAGTAAGGGGGCTGGTGGGATTGGCTTAAATGGAAAGACTGAAAGAACTTAGCATTGTGTATCCTGCAGCCCTTTCTCACGCAAGAATCAAAGGGACTATTTATGTGATCAAGAATTTTCCAGCATCAGCCTTTTAAATATGGATAGCTGGCTATATGACAACTAAGGGAGGAGGGATATAATAATTGCCTGCACATGTTCCAAGGAGAGGGAATAACTACCGAAGAACCTCAGAGAACGGAGGTTGTTCGTAACTCTGAACAAAACTTTATGGTGGTTCTTTCAAAAGTTTACAACTGAACATTGACTCAATAACGCTTTGAAACTTAACTATGCAGAAGAAAAATGCTGCTTTTAACCATCTTAATTTAAATGAAACAAGCACAGAAACAGTTTCCTTCCCTTGTCAAATCTTTTTTTATTTTTAAACTTTCCCTTTATTTTTTAGTAGTGTACATTTATTTGCTTTTTTCTTTTGGTCTCTGCTGCTGCCTGATTGCATACTTCCAGTTCCAAATGAGGTGTGTGATTGACTGGTCAGTTCGTAATTCTGGTGTTCGTCACTCTGAGGTTCTATTCTATTCCGGGTGATACAAGGGGACATGAGTAGACGCAATGGGATAAAATTCAGAATAGGAAAATTTAGACTTAATAGCAGAAAAAAAATTCCTAAGAATGGAATAATCTGCCTAAGGAAGAAGTGGAAACACCATTGCTCAGGACACTTAACATCAGACTGGGCAAAGCACTAAAAAATAGTAAGATGTAATGCAGGAATGGTTCACTGGGGATCAGCTAGATGACAGGCAGTAACAGCAACTAGATATTATGTTGAGGAGCACATTAAAGAATACCATAGACAGACAGATTAGATAATACATCTTTTCTATCTTTAATTTCTATGCTCCTGTGATTTCAAGAGCTCGAGAACAACTGCATGAGCCAAAGAAATTGAAGTGAAACATAAGATAATCCTTGCATATCATTCTGGGCTTACTCCTGCTTTCTGTTAGCTAGAATGATGCCCTTGACTGCGCTGGTACTGACTGCAGAAATCGCATGCAGAGTTTGATGTTTGTTTTGTGACATTGCACCCATACGTTACCGTATAAAACTTCTTCATATAATGATAAACTGTCATGAGGTAAATGCCGCATGCAAAGCCCAGTAATTACAATGGTGCTTAAACATTAGTGATTAGAAATACAATAGGTTTCAGAGTAACAGCCGTGTTAGTCTGTATTCGCAAAAAGAAAAGGAGTACTTGTGGCACCTTAGAGATTAACCAATTTATTTGAGCATGAGCTTTCGTGAGCTACATCCGATGAGGTGAGCTGTAGCTCACGAAAGCTTATGCTCAAATAAATTGGTTAGTCTCTAAGGTGCCACAAGTACGCCTTTTCTTTTTTTAGAAATACAATAGATTAGACAGCCAGACAGGAGGGAGATGATATTCTACAGATCTCCATTATTCCTATTTTGCATCAGGCTTGAGAACTTTCCTGGTCTAGCCCTTGCACATCAGCATTTACTTTGTAATAGGACTAAGCCTTACTTACAAAACACTCCAATTTAAACAAGATACTTTTAAGAACAAAAGATAAATGACAGAATAAGTCAGTTACTATCCTACCTTTGAAAAAGGTCCAGCTAGTCCACAAAGGGTATACTGCATGTCTGACTTGGCCTTAGGAAGCACCGTGTCTAATGCAATCAAAATCAACCCTTTTTTATTCACCAGGATACATTATGGACTCAGTCCAGCCTTCACAAGTGCACTAGTTTACTGTATAGGGCAACGTGAGGGCAGGATTCAGTTGTATGGACCAAATGAAGTGCAAGCAACACCATAGGTGCTGGAACTAAGGGTGCGGGGGGGGGCAACTGCACCCCCTGGCTCTAAGCGGTTTCCATTATGTACAGAGTTCACAGTTTGGTTCAATGGCTCTCAGTACCCTCACGATAAAAATTGTTCCAGCATCACTTAGATTCTAATAGAAGATGTGCTTTGCACATCATGGGGTATCCGGGAAAATTTGCTTCTGAATCTCTCCAACTCAAATAATTTGGTCTGCCTTCCCCTTGATACCCATGTGTATA